TTTTGGTGAGAAACTCTCCAGCTGTACGTCCCCTTTAAAATGATGTATATTGTGTTCACGATTCCAGCAGTCTAATATACAGATTTATGTCATATATAATAGACAAGTTCGATATTGGATTGATTTCGTTAATATTTTGCTTAATTATTGCAAAGGTGGGTTTGTCGACATACTAACCTGTAGCTGTCAACCATGGAAAGCTGTGAATTTCATTGATGCAATTTCGCTGATTCGATAAAAGACATTATAATTACAGATCGTTGCAATCGGCAAAAGGTTTCTAAAAGAATTTTATAACAAATATTATGATCAGCACAGTTTAGAGCTCCTTCATTGTTATACAGTTGATACAGAATGTAATATTTGACAGATATTATGCACTAATAATAATTGATCTTTCTATCACTCTACCGATTTCGGTGCTTGTTAAAATATTTTGAGAACAATGGCTTGTATATTGTGTTCAACATACTGTGTAAAATATGAAAGTACTTGAAAGATAACAATAACGCAATTGATCCAGAACATAGTTCATGATTTTGCGGCAATTGACTGATGTGATCTGAAATGACCTCTTGGAAAATATAACAACCAGGCGACCAAGGTTTCAATACTTATCTAATTTGTACTGAAAGCTGGAAGTTGACCTATAAAAGTTTTTTAAAACTGAAACAATTATTAAGTGATGTTAGTTTCATAATTCTTATGTAAATTAGAATAATCTCAGATCTCTAGTATTTAAAAATGGGTCTAAATTCAGTTAATATGGTAATGGATGATTGTTTGAGGGGACAATACCGTAACCACGTTGTGTTATGTAAATATGTGGGTATTGTACTGGAGACCAGCGTAACGAAATAAAACATTAGATGTAACAATTTAACATATGCTAGACTCAATTTACATACGTACAGTAAGACGGATTGCTTTTCTCTTATTCTTTCTTTTTATGGAGACAAGTGGCGTCGCCACACGCTTGACTACCAGTTCAGCCATTTAACAACGATGTTATCGCAGTGAAGGCTAGTATTTTGGGAAGGCTGTATTACAAATTGTGCTATCAATATCTAACACGAGGTAAACAGAGCTAGATGTCATATTGACGGTTATCAGTGGTATGATGATAAAATCAGTGAATTCTCACCAAACAAAGCCAGTCAAATACAGTGTTGTTATTGTGAAGAAGTATGGTGATCTCAATGATTTTATAACCAGATTATAATAAGTAATAACTATGTTAAAAATTTACACTTAAAATAGCATTAAAAAAAACATCAGCTTTGTAACAGAACCAATGACTTATCGGTTGTTTCTACCGCCAAATTATAACCACCCTTCATTTCATTATTTTGAAATACTTGTTAAGCTAAATTTAGCAGCTCTTATAGTTATTATTTTGTGCCATAGGACGTTTTATTGGAATTTTATTCTCAAATCACCTTAACACCAACAGCTCTAACATGGCAGTAATGCAAGTCATTGGTCAATTATGAAGATATTCTTATTGGTCTTACCTTCAACAAGGTGCAAGCTGACACACATGTGTATTTGACCTACGAATGTGGTCACTTTTATAAATATGTCATGCCAAAGTACCCCTATGATCAGAAATGGTGACCATTTAGGTAATAGGAGTTAAGATTATGATTATATAAGTAAAAAAGATATTGCCATTGATATTATTAACTTTTAAGGAACGGTTCAGACCATATTTAGCGTAAATTTAAACCTTTATTTAGCATATTTCTAAACCAACCATTTAAAAGATACGATTATGTCGACTCAAGAATACTCACTAACAATTTAACTCTAACGCATGTCATGGCATGTTTCTTAGTTTTTTTTTTATTATTATTTGAATATGTGTGACATAAAAACATAGATACAGTAGAAATCAACCATCATGCCTAATGTTTATAGTTAAACAACCTTGCCTTGCCCTCCAGAAATATTTTATTGTAAAGGATTGCAATTCACAAACAATTGAATGAAATGTCTATTTCATATGTCTTATTCTTACTCAAAACTAATTTCCGATCAAATGTATTTATATAATATTTGGTTGCCGTTTTAAGACAGGTAAGACTGTGCATGTGTTTTTTTTTATCAACCACTGTGTAGTTTGAATAATCTAAACGATTCATTTAAAGATGGGTTTCCTTATTTTTTTATGTCAAATTAAGCAAACCATTTGATAAATTATTGTTTTTAATGAATCATCATGTGTTCTAAATCATATTATGTTCTTGTTGCATATTAGAGTTTTAACTAATCAAGAATATCTATGTGTTTACTGCCTAAAAAAACAAAACAGACTTTTTGACCTTTCTTGATCGGTCACTCATAGGAATTCTTCTAGTAATTCTCTTCTAATTTAGCTAATTATGAATTAATTATGGACATATAAGACAAACTGGTATTTTTCCATGTCACGAGAACACCTCTACTTTCTATTCATATAAGTATTAGCATTTTCATTTTCATAGATGAAAATAAGGGAACCCATCTTAAGACGATTTTGAAAGATACCAGCAATAGAGAATGGGTCCTCTAAATTAACATTTCTAGTATAAAACATATCAGGTCATACAATTCCAAGAATTGTTAACCCACTTATTTTCAGCAATAGAGAATGCATGACAAAGGTTGTTTGAATTTCTGATAAAGTATAGGGATATTGTCGACCAATTCAATCATTATTAATTACGCGTAACACCATGTTACATTAAATGTTTAATTTCAAGTTTAATTATTAACAAATATATACATCTCATGTCAAAACGACAACTTCATACTTTTAACAATAAAACAATGTTCACACGATATCATCATAATGTTCAATAAAAATTTGAATATTACTCGATCAATGAATAGAATTAGTCTATTGAATGCAAATGAGACAGTATATAAATAAACACAATAGGATTGAAGAAATTATATATTTCTACACTGGAATAAATTATGCATAATTCACGGATTCTTCCAGATGGGTATCTGTGCTGTTGTTATTATGCTTTGAATTGTTACTTTTCAAAATGACTCCTCATTGGATCTTGAACCTCGAAGTTCGTCGAATGCCTTGCACCACATTATACTGTCATCCCTTATATATTGGTTAGGAATGATGGTATTGAAATTGGCAGTTATCACAGTAAACCAAATTGAATTATTTAAATATTCAACTTTCATCATTTTCAGAATCTGCAATATGAAAAAATTATCAAATTTAGTTCCAAGCGTTTAAAAACAAGTTTAAATACTTATCATTCTTTTACTGATAGAAATAATCAGTTAACATTGATATGTCAGAAATATTTTTATATATGATCTATCATTACTGTTGAAATTATCATCATAAATATTATTTTAGAGTATAATTACCTGAAGTTTGCTGAGTTTCTGGTCTTTCAGTTTTCAGATTTAAAGCTTCCTCATGTTCGGGGGTTGCTGCGTTGAGTTTTATAGGTGATATGATTTCTTTGGTTGAAATTGAAAACGGTGGTGTGTCTGGTGGGGTATCTAATGTCGGTCGTGATGGCAGTTTTTCCTGATTATAACCTGGTATGTGCATCTGGAGACGAGCACCGTAAGGATCAACAAAACTAGGAAATCTGGAACCGGTATGATGTAAACCATTATAATGTGTAAAGACAGGTTGCTGTGGAACTGGTTTTGGTGTGTCTTTATCGATGATTTGTGAAATTGACCATATTTTAGGTTTTGAAACGCCGTTATTATTGGATGTATTGACAGGTTTATTCACTAAGATATTATCAGGTATTCGTAGTTGTGATGAGGGCAATAATCGACTTTGTAATTTAAAGTTTTTGTTATCGGTTGGTTCATTTTCAGTATCTGATATATCCGATAAATCTAATTGATTATCACTGTCTTCGTCACCGCTCAATCTTTTTTCCAGTCCTTCAACATCTGAAAATACACAGAAAGAAAATATGAAATTTCCATTGAATAAACTGTATTTAAACTTGAATTGTTTTTTATTGATTAGAAGAAAAAAACAGAACATTGATTTTCAGACAAGATATCATAATTACAGACCACAATTATTTATTTATCTTTTTATTTTAGTCTGTAAAACTCTAAATACTAAATTGGAACAATACTCAGAGGTAATATAATTATCTATTTTACAGATAATCTTAGAAAAATAAAGGCATGTGTTGGAAATACAAAACCAGATTGAAATTTACGAGTGTCTCGAATTTCTCAGGAGACAAAATCTGTCGTTTTCCTTGTTTTATTTCATTAAATATTAGGCAGCCGTATCCCAATATGACGTCATAAATAGCAAATTTTATCGTTCATATTCTGTGATATCGTATTACAAACATTGATGAATTATTTCAATTATGATAATAGAATCTTAATTAGTATTCAAATGTAACCAAACTGTTCTTAATTTTAGAAAAGCTTGAAAATACTCAGATACTTTTCAGATCATATAAGATAAGAATAAAAGGAAATTCATGCCATGCTCTTATCAATTTGCTCCACGTGTATACACTGACAATAGTAATGTTTTGTTAAGTGGTTCCTAACGTAATTTTAATGAGATCTCGAGCCTTTTCTAAGTTGGAGGTGGAAATAAGTGGATTATATCAACCAGTTAAAATTTGATAATAGATCTCTCACACTAAACTTTTATTCGTCATTGATTTTTTGAAACTGTTATCTACCTAATGACGCGAAACGAATATTTCAGTCTGAAGTCATTACATGCATGGTTGAAGGTTCAAAATCAAAGTTAAACTTTTAACTTTTATTGTGCGTATTTTTTTTTATTTCATGTGTACATCTCCGGTCTTTAAAATGCGGTCATTGACATTATGATTAAAAAAATTACAACATCAATTTATTCTGGGTGTGTGAAGATATTCTACCCGACTCATGAAATAATGAAAAGTTGAATTACCTATTTCTCTGTCACTATCAAAACCACGTCTAGATTCATCATCAATATTTTTTATATCATCCTCATCATCATCATCTTTATCATCAGCAGAATCCCAACATAACTTATTCTCTTTCTTCAGTCGTCTTCGAGCATTAGCAAACCACGTAGAAACTTGAGTTAAAGTCATTTTGGTGATGATGGCCAACATGATTTTCTCGGCTTTGGTTGGGTAGGGGTTTTTACGGTGTTCACTGAGCCAAGCTTTCAAGGGACTTGTCGTTTCTCGTGTCGCGGCTTTACGGCGTGCAGCACTGTTGAGATCTAGTCCAGCATAACTAAATAAAATATAATTAATTATAATTAATTCTCCCTTTTATATCAAGCTTCATTAACTTGTGTATTGATCAGTAGAATTAAAAGAAATGACAATTTATAGTGAGATGGAACTAAAGGCGATCAAGCAAATGATTTCATTCTAATATCAATCATATAGTCATTCCATTTACCAATTGCCAAGTTCAAAAACATTTGTTAGAAGAAAGGTGACATTAAATAAGGGTCTATTTCAGGGATTTAAGCAAACGACAATAAAATTCAATTGAAATAGAAGAATAAGCACCACATGTCGTGAAGTTCATAATAAGAAATAAAATGACGGTTAGAATGTGTCGCACTGTGTGAACTTATTTAATGAATGAAGGTAACTTGTTTCTAATATTAATACTTTTAATATGTTTAATAAACACTTTTTATATTGAATGAATATCGAGGGTTTGATTGACAGGTATATAGAGGTAACAATAATAACATAACCTGTGTATTCTATCAATATCATTCAATAATTCTTTAAGGAAATGGGTGTGATTTATTGCCACTCACAAAATTTTACCAGATTTTAACCAAAAACCTTTTAAATGAATTTTTAATTTGATACTTTTCAAAGAGAAGGACTTGAAGCCATTGTGACAATCATGACCATAGTCGGCTAAAGCATTATTGCATACTACATTTTCGTTAAGTTCACAGAGTAAGTTTAAAATATTATTCAAAATTTGTTTAATACTTACAAAGTGTTGTAAGGATGGAATGCTAGTGAAGGATCATAAGGATGAGGAGACATAGTTGAGGGTAGCGCTTTCCAAGATTCTGGTCGATCTGCCCTTATTCCACTTAGTCCACAATTCTGAAAAAAAAAATAGAACAAATCATTAAAAGAAAATCTTTTTTAAAAAATCTAAATGGTTTTTTGAGAGTATCCATCTGATAAATATGATCACATTCAATGTAATTTTCTTCAAACTAACCCGAAATGCTTTTTGTAAATATACAATACACAATAATCTAAAATTTCTTGAAATCATATAATTAAATAATATTATTATATATGATATATCAAAGTATTCAGAAATAGTCTAAATTATATCAAATATATAATGTTGTTTTGCTCAGCATTGATCAGTAATTAAATACACTTTAGGCTTTTAAAATTAGAGAATTTCTTTTTACAATATTACACTTCAATATAAATCAAATGGTAATAATGTTATTAAACATTATTGGCGTATTTAATAAAGTAATCAATAATAATGTGATATTTATTGATACCAGTTACACCGCATTATAACAATATTATTATTATTATTGATAATAAATCGGTTATTATTTATAAATTATAGACCAATAAAACCAGTCATTTAATAACTTAATATTTCTATCATAAACCACAATAATTGTAGTTTTATTAATCATAATTTATTGAACAAATTAGATTCATGGAAATCATTACAATTTGCATTAAATAATATTACAATATCATTTATTTATATTTTTTTTGTTTCAAATATGAAAAGAAATTGATTTATTGTTTGAATTAACTTAATTTTTAATGCATTCCACAGTGGAAAAGAAAGAAAGTGTTTGTGAATTATAAAAATCGTGTGAATAATAACTGATCTCAAATAGAAAGGGTTTTTAGAATTTCTGATGGAATAATATGGTAATATTTTACCATGATCTGATAATTATTTTGTTATTATTTAACCATAATTACCAATGGTGATTTGAATGCTGAAGGTTCGGTACCCATTGGTAAACCAGATGGATGCTGCATGTTTCGTACATTTTCTGGACCCCCGGGAACAGTTGAATGAGGTGTGGGATCTCCACTGAGTTGGCATAAACATACTGCTTGTCCTGTACAGGGATCTGTGACGTAGGGGCGACCATTTTCACAAACTGGGCTAGCTGGTAATCTTATCGCTCCTGGATTCTGAAATGCACAATATTTGTAAAATTAAAACTCTGTCTACGTTTAAGTGATACCATTCAACCACAAAAATTTACCGGATATTAAATTTAACTGAACTGTTTGTAACTGGTGTTACTTGATAATATTGAAGCAAGTCATGTATCTTCTTTATTTAAATTTTCATCAAATATTTCTGTAAATTTTTAAACGTTGTAACTGTTATCACTCCAAAATTCTACCACTGTGAAAATTACTAAATGAAGTCATTGGTGCGTTAAAAGATATTTAAAATAACACGATGAAGCCCATTATTTCATAAATATTTCATAAATATTACCACAAGTTGATTTCACACCCCCACTTTACTTGATTTACATTTTAATATTAGCCCTTTATCAATGTTCATAACACACACGATGTAACATCTGAATTTTGAGAGTATAATTAAAGTTAAATTGTAACCTTTGTGAAATGTTTAATAAGTTTAGTCAGTGGAATAATGAACTATTGAATTATGTTGTAGCTTCAACAAGAATTAAAATGGTTCGTGGTTGCGTAAGTTTCATGACAATATAGAGTATACATTTCATAGGTGTCTTTACATGATTTCCCGTGGTAGCATTTATGAAGCTCTCATATAGGCAGTCATTTGATTTTATCTAATAAACGAATGCATAACATTTGCGCCAATAGCATGTATAGCTGATACTATAAACCAAGTTTTGTTATGCTTACTGCAGTTACTTAAACATGTATTTGCAGCCTTTGAATATCATAAGTAACTCTTACCTGTGTAAGAACGGAAACACCATCAGCAGTAATTCCTGCTGGAAATCCACCAAGACCAAACGGTGCTCGAAACATGTTGTTATTGTTTTTGAGCAATATATCCAATAGTTAAACTCAGTAGATTAATTAGTAAAAATATCCTGTATTACAGCTCATTGAAATAATATCATAACTTGAGCGAATATCCTATTTCACTAAACAGATGATGTGCTTGTTTTCCGATGTTTGTCAACTGATGTGATGTCTTAAGATTTTGTGTGTTAATATAGCCTATTTTCACCACCAACCATGTCACTATTACTATAGTACAAATTGTTAGATACTTGTATTTGATTGGCTGAAACTGAACAATAGAAGTCTTGACTTGAGGCATGTAATACGGCTAATGATTGGCTGATAAAGAGTGGGATAACACCCATATACCACAGTTCGTGAATCGATCAACCACTAATAAACCTAGTTAATCTTAATACCTTTTTATTGTCATTACTAAACAAAATGTTATTTTTTCCATTTTAAATTTTGTCACCTTTGTGAAAATCCGTGTTTTGCCTTGGCTGATCTCAATTTAGGAGGAGAGAAAAGTAAATTTGAGGTCTTAGTATGTCACTTGATGCCATGACCTCTGTATTATTAATATTGAGAAATAAATAAAATGGTATAATTGAACTAGATAATTGTAAAAATCTAAATTTTCAGTGTCAGAATATTAGAACAGATTTCTGTCTTGTTTCTACTAATTGACTTCATTTATTTCTTCACGATAAAATATTATTTTGAATTTATTGTCAATTCAAAATATTCTCGAAACAATGTTTTAGAAAGGAATGGACGCAAGAGCTTATGTGTTTTAACATTCAAAAAGCATATTAGTCTACTTCGATATGCAATATTTTTTATGAAAATTTGATTAAATATTGAAAGAATAGTCCTATGTTAATAAATAAAAAGTGATGGTTTCATTTTCTGAAAGTAAAATTGCTTGTCAGTTATATCGTTCTAATGCTCTTAAACATTTTGGGTGCACTAAAAAAATATTGCTAAGGTTTTTTCTACATATAGTCTAAGAAAATATCCTTCCAAAAGAATTATTTCAATATGAATTATGTAATAATTATTGTAAATAATATGTTATTTTAATGTTTCGCGTTTGACATTATTATGAGGAAGACTGCATGGTTCGCAAAAGATGAAGTTATTATCAAGAATGACTTAATATGCGTAAACTGATACGTCATCAAAACTCATATTGTAAAATATGCTTTGTGGCACACGTTTTTAATAATAGGATGGAGTTGAAGAAAGTCCCGTCACACCTGACCCCTCGGGCCTTTCGGTGATACTCACTAGAAAAATTAGGAGTAAAATGGAATGCCGTGAAATATATCTTTCGTTTCGCTTTATAAACAGAATGTAATGTGTACGATGACTAGTCACGTCTGTACAAGAATAATAGAATTCTAATCGAGATTAAGATAGTAGTTTGTGAGTGGAAACATAGAAGAGAATATTATTTTAGCCTCACACGATGATCTTTAGACCTTTTATAGAATTAAATTATTCTTGTAAACAGTTGGAGAATACATGTGGTGATTTGACTAATAATATACTACACAGATGTTCCTCAAATTTAAAAGGATATTAGGCTACCTACAGTATGACACAATCGAGATAAACTTGATCACATAATATATACATATTACGCCTTCTTCATTTTCATCATTAATATTTTTTTATTGTAAGTATAAACATGAATCCCTTCATCAGTACTAGTTGGAGACGGCATAAATCTTTATGTTCAAGATTTGTAAAAGAACATACAGGCCTACGTAGTATTGTTGCGCAATTATTATATACATTTATTCTGACAATCTACAATATAGGTTTGTTCATGTTACAAAGTGCACGACCTCTATCATACCAAGAAACTACAATTGCCTAGCTTCGTATTGATGAAAATCATACAAATCGTTCATCGCATACAACTTTTAAAAACACTATATTTTTGAAGTATGAGGGGGTTAAGTACTGATATTTACTTGAGAACTATTTTGTAACCTGTTCATGTAAATCTTCTATTAATTTGAAGATGATGTGTCAGTGATAGGAATTGTGTTAAAATACTGATATTATCGATTACTGACACGACTTATACCCGCTCTCAAGTGGGCCCTTGGACTCAAATCATCCAAGAGTCACTGTTAGGCAAAATACAAACATCATAATACATTTTTAAGTGTCTTGAAATCATGTTGCTTGGAGCAAAAAATACAAAATTTGAAATTTGACACAAGGAGTTGTTGACA